AATTCTTTTGTGAGTCAAAGTGCGAAAGTGAGGAACCACCTCGAGCGACGAAATTAACATACTTTATCAAACTTGCATTCTATCAACACTGCATTCGCAGTTCATGCAGGTAAATCGTTCAAGACAACATTGAGACGGCCGCCAATCGAGCTTTCATCAAGGCGCACCTTGGGCACCCGGTAGTAGATGATAATAATCAACCATCGCTTGCATTAAATATTGCTGCGGGAGTACCGTTGCTTTATGGTCTGGCTAGCTGCCTCTTTTTTGACGCTCTCCGTCTTGTTAAATTCAGTTTGGAGTAGACTGAGGCGTATAGTATGCTGAGATGTGTCATCGATTAGAAAGGGTTAATAACTGGTGTTGTCATATTGATAATCTTGAAACAAAATCTCGAAAGACTAGAGAGTTATGTTTTTGCTACGTTGCAGAAAGCGGTAATGTGCCCATATTCTAGCCTTTAACCAAGTATTTGCCCTTATACCTTAGTCCGGGTTAACCACAACCCTAACCTTGACACTGACTTAACTCCAACTCCAATCTACCTGCAGTCTTTACGAGTGGTTCCTGTTTCTGTGCCTACCCTTACCTCTATTTATGTTCAGCAAGAACTTGAAGATGACTTAATATATTACGAATTTCTGTTAAGTAGTATTTGGCTTTAGTCATATTTTATACATGAGAAACATCGCATTCTGCGGATTATTCCAATTACTGTGTTATTTCTGCAGACCTGCGCATATTAAAATCATATTTTTACGCGATGACCCGCTTTTTTCTTCCAGTAGGTAACTTTCCATACATGCTTTCTGCAGTAACTTAGTTTATTTATTTTTTTATTTTTTATTATTTACTGATCAATTTTCAGGAATTTGGGCTACGAGGCAGACGGAGGATGTCACGGCGGATCGGGATCTTTATATCAAAACAACTCTACGAGAGCTGTTCGTCTATATTCTCTTCATTATAACCACCCTTACAGGTGAGATTTTGGACAGCGAAATCAGGTATGCTAGGGGAGTTTTTGCATATAACGGGACCTTCCTCACGCTCTCTGTCTTGCTCTGGAGCTCTGCCAGAGACCGTGCAGCAGCTGGTGACATGACCACCAAAGACAAGGAGATCGAAAGGGTCATTTCTAGCCTATCAGTCATAAGCAGTTGGCCATACTCAAAAATGAGTTGTTACAGGTCACTCTTGTTATGCAAAATTGCATGAAAATATGTAGAAAAATATATGAACGGTTGACACGGTGAGGCGTTTGCGGAATAGCAGCGTACAAAGCGTTCACTATGTATGAAATAGTTGTCTTGGCCATTGTTGGTGTAAATAAAAGCTCACTTGAAATCAAGCGAGCAGTATGTTTTAGTCAATTCAGTCATAAGCAGTTAACCGTAATGAAGGGCTCATAAATTTGAGCCTCAATTTTGGTCAAAACCCTGGGCTGGGCTGGATGGGTCTGGCTGGTTTGCTGGCAGATGATAGCTTATAATGCAGAAACTGTCCTTTCTGTCTTCTTCGTGAATTGAAGCGTGCGCGTTAGCCTGGGCCGAGGGACGCAACGTAGCTTGGCGTTAAATTGTCGTGCCGGGATTCCTTTTGCGAGAAATTTAAGATGTAAAGAAGGCCGCGCTGGCGATGAGAGCAGACTATCCCATGGCGTCTCCCTTCCCATGTGATTGGTTAAGGAGTGAAGCCCGTAGTTTTAAAAGGGGAGGAGTGGCTTAAGTCCTGCAATATATGCAGTTATTTCCTCCAATAAGAATGCCTCGACACACGATCATGTTTGCTAGACGGGTTTTTAAATCCACGGGACATACTTCGCACTTTGTTGCTGGGAGTAAACTCTTGAATACCCTAGAGGCCGTGCAGCAGCTTGTGATATAAGCATGACAGGAAGGTTAGTTCTGGTATATTATGCATAAGCAGTTAGCTACATTGGACAGGTCGTGGGATCGAGCCTCAAATTTCGCAAAACCCTTGGCTGGGTTGCGTGTGGCTGGCCGATGACGACTAATAAGCCAGAAACCTTCAGTCTAGACTCTTTCATGAAGTGAAGTGAGCGCGTAAGCCTGTGCCGTTCGCATGTACAACCAATCATAAGGGGACGCCACGTCGATTCGCGGTAGGGAGTCGTGAGGTCGGGGTTTTTCCAGGTGCTGCGCAAACATTCCATTTACGAGACATTTAAGATGGAAAGAAGGCCGCGCTGGCGACGAGAGTAGACCATCACATGGCGCCTTACTCCCATGTATATGGCTAGGGGCTCAAGCCCGTAGATGGGAGAGGAGGGGCGTATGGTGGGTTAAGTTCTGCAATATGTGCAGCTATGTCCTCCAATTAGGATGTAACTGCAGTCCTTTTGGGGTACTGATAGCGTTCTCCGGGCCGAGCGTTTCCTCGCTGCAATTATAAGACACTTTCAGGTCTTGACACCAAGTGGCAAACACCCTAAATGCCAGTAGCAGCCCGTAATCTTTACAATTTAGCTGACAGACATGTAGGCTATTTTTACGGGGATAATGGGTCAAGCTGGAGGCGCATAAATTCGCCTCGTGGCAAGTGATGCCCCAGATTAATAGTCGCAGCTGAAAGCCATAGAGGCTTTCCTATAATCAACATCTTGGGCCTGTGCGGTCACTTCATCGGCTTTTGCGCGTTTGTACAGAGTTTCCGAAATAATCACGGTAGACGCAAAATCTACGATGATTTACAGTTAACGGAAGGATCTCATCACTCCTGTATAATCAAGAGTTTAAGCAAGAGCATATTCCACTGCGCATTTAAGGGAACAAACTCCAACCCCCACAGCACACCTGCGCTTACTTAGCAAGCCAAATTTTT